GAGTCCCCCTCTGTGTGCCGCGCGGTGTGTGGCAGGAGAGCGCGCTGGTTTCCCGGCACGAGAGGCACGCTGGTGCTAACACATAGTTTGCGGATGAGGGAGCCGGGGAGGGAAGCGGGCTGTTGGGCCAGCAGCGGGGGCTGTAGAACTTGAGCGGCTGCATGCGGTGGTGTGCCTGCCCGCCTCCCCGCGCCCCAGCAGCTCCACAGCGCGCCCCTGGCCCCTGCCCCGCCCCGCCCCTGCCCCGCGCTGCCCCAGGTGTCTGACAAGGAGCGGCGGGTGGAGCTGGACACGCTGTTCCGCGACGTCGCCTCTGTGCTGTCTGAGAAGTGCATCAACCCGGAGTCCAACCGACCCTACACACTGTCCATGCTGGAGCGCGCCCTCAGGGACGTCCACTTCTCGGTCGACCCAAAGCGCCCCGCCAAGGCGCAGGCCCTAGAGGTGGGGTGCCAGGCGCCGCCGCCGGCGCTGCAAGGCGCCGCCGGTGCTGCAAAGCGCTGTGCAGGGGTGGCGGGGCGGGGTGGCTGCAGGGCATGGTGGCGAGTGCGGCGGGGGGTGGGAACAGGAAGCCGCGGTGGGACGGAGCCGGTGCGGCGGCTGGCTGGGATGCCGCACGCGCCGCCGCCCCTGCTGAGCCGCCGCGTGGCGCCCGTCCGTCGTGACTGCCCCTGGCGCAGGCGCTGCCGCTGCTGAAGAGCCGGTTCCCCATAGAGCGAGCTCGCATGCGGCTGAAGCTGGCGGTGCCGCTTTCTTCCAAGGACGAGCTGCTGGAGCTGGTGCGGCAGCAGGGCGGCGTGGTGGAGGAGCAGGACCTGATAGGTACCGCCAGCCTGGCGCCAGGCTGGGCTGGGAGGCTCAGCTGGGGGGTGGCGGGCGCACGTGGGGCACCACGTGCACCCGCCTGCCTGCATGGTGTGTGCACCGGCATCAACCTGCTCGACCCCTGCCCTCTTCGTACCTCTTGCTACCTCCTGCCCACTGCTCCCGCCCCCTCCTGCCGCCACCCTGGGCCCGCAGGCTCCCAGTTCTGCCTGGTGTGCCTGGTGGAGCCAGGCACCTTCCGCTCCGTGCACAGCTTCATCCAGACCTCGTCGGGAGGCATGGGGCGCTTTGAGGTGCTGGCGCTGGCGGCCACGGGGGAGCTGGATGCTGATGTGGGGGCGGCTGCCGCTGGCATCGAGGGCCTGGGCCTGGGCCCCAGCGGGCAGCAGCAGCAGCACCAGCACCAGCAGCCGGCGACGCAGCAGCCGCCGCCGCTGGGCGGCCACGGGGCAGCGGCATCCAGCAGCGGGTTTGTGGCGGCGGCCGCCACCACGGCGCCAGCGCCGCGGCCTGCGGCGAACCGAGCGGCGGCGGGGGCGGGCGGCGGCACGGTGGTGTATGCGCGAGGCCCAGTGGAGGGGCTGCCAGAGGAGCATGCCAGCCGGCGGGAGCGCTTTGCTGAGCTGGACCAGCTGCAGCAGGGGTGGACGGTGGAGCTGCGGTCGCGCGGCGAGGGCGACATCATCGACGCCCTGTTCTTCAGCCCCGGCGGAGACTGCGTGGGTGCGTATGCCAACGCGCGGCGCATGGCGCTGCGGGCCAGCAAGGAGCGGGCGGCGGCGTGAGCGCAGTGCCTGTGTTTGGATTGGACATCGTGCACATGCTACTCTGCACAGCTGTGCACTGTTTCATGCAAGACATCCTGTCAACAGGCTGTTGTGCTAATAAGAGAGCATGGGAACATGCCGCGGTGGCGCCCGCATGCGCGTGCCGCCAGAACTGCTGTGACCTGGCGGCGGGAGGGCCCCTTCGAACGGCGGACAATTTCCCATTTCTGAGTCGTAACAGGCTGCTCTGTGGCTGTTCAAAATGACGGGGGCGGGGCATGAGAGGCCCCACGGCTGGCTCCTGCTCGGTTGGGTTGGCGTTGCTGTCTTGGCGCATATACTGGTTGCCCTGTTCGTTGTGCTGAATCGGTGGCTGCAGGTGGGCGGTGCAGTGGAGGACGCAAGCCGCAGTTGCATTTTAGGGCTTTTGCTTTTTGACCTAGGCTGGCGGGGCAACTCAAGTGGTCCTCGCCTCTCGAAAGAGCATCTGAAAGGCTGTGGTTACAATTTGCTGCGGCCGAATCGCATGTGGCGAGGCTGCGGCCTGCCGCTCACCGCTGCCGTCGCCGACGCTCTCTGTGCGCAGGTCGAGCCCACGCCGCCGCTGCCTGCGCTGCGGTTGGCGCTGCTGGTCAGCTTGCTGGCACTGGCAAGCCTCATGCTCCTACACGGCAGCATCGTGCTGGTGCGGTTGGTGCGGCAGCGTTGGCGGCAGCACAGCTCACCGCTAGGCTGGGGAGGAGCAACTCCAAGTCCAGACAAGCCAGCAGGAGAGCCGACCAAGTTGTGCCCCATCAGCAGAGACAGCAGCAGCTCAATCCATCTAGCGCCAGATGATAGCAGCCGGGCAGCAGGCGACGCAGCGGCGGGAGTTGCCGACTCTTTTTCGCCCCTGTCAGCAGCAACAGCAGAAGCAGCAGCAGCAAGCATCCCTGCACATCGGCCCTCCTCGCCCTTCCTTCAGCGCGGGGACAGCACATTTGTGCGGCAGCCGGGCCAGCCGCCGCCTCTGCGGCCAGAGATGCCAGTGCGGCATGGCTTGACACGCCATGTGCTCAACATGGGGGCCAAGCATCCCTGGCTGGTGTATCATGGAGCGCTGGCCATCACCACAGTTACCTTCTCCCTTGCAGTGGTGTGCCAGGTGATAGCTCCTGGCTATGTCGACGCTGAGCTAGGTAAGCTGCAGCCTTCGCTTTCTTGTTGTCTTTCTGTTGCAGGCTGCATCTCCTTCCGCCGTTTGCTTGTGGCTTTGCTTGTAGTTGTGCCGACCCTCCCAGCCTGGCGTGTGCCCCGCACTGCTGCTCTTGTGCAGTGCAACTGGTGCAGATGTTTACGGTGATTGTGGTGGCCTTGTTTCAGCACCTGCTGCTGCGCCACCGCCTGCCCTGGATCATCTGGCCATCTTCGGTGGCCATGCTGGGCGGAGCGGCAATGGTGATCACCGGCTGCGCCTGGCTGGCTCATTCTGCTGTTCTGGACATGATCACGGGAGCGGGTGATTCATGCCCGCTAGGGCCTCTTCCTTATGTGTTCCATCCCGCCTCACCACTCGTGCTGCCTGCTGCTGCTGGATGCAGGTCATGGTGCCCACCGTTGGGAGAGTGAGCAGCTGGCTGGGTCGTTGTGCACCTGGCCATCTTTTCAGCCGCTACCTGCCTTGACTGCATCCATATGCCTCGACCTGACCCCTGCCTGCGTCTCATCCGCACATCACACATGTGTGCTGTACAGGGCACAGCAGATGGACTGAGCGGCTGGCGCGGATGGCTGGGGTTTGGTCTGGCGGTGGTTGCTATGGTGTCTGCGGCCATCTATTTTGTCAGCCTGCAAGCCTTCCGGCACCTGGGCTTCAACAGCCTGCAGCTGCAGGTGCGGAGGCAAGCGAGGCTGACAGCAATACACTGCTGGCAGCTTGCTGGTGAACAGCGCGCAGTGCCCGATCCTCGCCATCTCCTGTGTGCTGCAGTATTGCTGCTTGTTCTTCTGCATCCTGGCGCTGCTGCCCCTCACGCTGCCCATCGATGGCGCCGACTGGAGCGGCCAATTCGATGGCTGGACAGCCAGCAGCTGGGCTGTCCTGGCGATGGTGGCAGTGACATGTGTGTTATCCAACTTTTGCCTACAGGCAAGAGTCAGCGCTCCCGGTTCCGTTGTGCCATCTGTGGCACTGTGCATTGCTCACCGTGCAGCAGCATGATCATGCCATGCGGGTTGCCTGGCCGCCCACTGATGTGTTCTCCCCCTCCGTTCTGCGCCCTTCCTGCCGCTGCAGCACGCCACCTGGCAGCTGGGCGCGCCCACGCTGTCCATGTTTTACGGCCTGCGCCTCGTCGCCTCCATTGTCCTGTCCGAGCTCCTGCTGTGGTACACTGTTATCACCAGCGCCGTGCAGGTGAGGGGGATGGCGAGGTGCTGCCGAGAGGCTGGCCAGCTCCAGAAGCGGGCGGCTGTGAGTGGTCTGCTGATTCCCAAGATGTACCTTGCAGATTGTGGGAGTCGTGGTTGTGGTGGCTGCCGTGGCAAAGGCGGCAAAGGCGGAAGCAGCAGCAGCGGTGGTGGCGGCGGCAGAAGATGATTGCGCCGCTAAGGCAGCAGCGGGAGCGTTAGCGGCAGCCGAGGAGGGAGGCAGGCCCACTGATGATTCGGCCCATCACGGTCCCCGCGGCACCCTCTCGCCTCGCTTGGGTAGCAACACAGAATAATTGCCAGCGCAATTTTTGCTGGAGCCTGTGGCTAGGAGAGCCGTCCCTCCAGAGTCATCCTGATGGATTTTCCAGTTCCAGCACGTTTATGTACTCTCCTGTCCTGCATTGCTCTTGGAATATTCTTCCCCCACTTTTTTTCTCTCCCTGCTAATGTTTGCCATTATTTAATTCCACATGCCTTCAGGGCGTGAGGGTCAGCCATTATTTGAAGGCCCTGGCGTCTTGACCGGAGGCCGTCACGTCACCTGCTGCGCCGCGATGTTAGCCGCGGACGGGATGGCGGCAAATGTGCCGCTGCCGCCGCTGCCGCTGATTGCGCAGTGCAGCCAGCCTGCAACAAGAAAAAGAAGGATGACACAGGTGGGTGACTTTGGGAGACTCATCGAATGCGAGAAGAGATGTGTATTCCACGGCGTGCTGAGGTAGCGGCGTGTCCGTTACGGTATGCAGTCACGCCATGGCGCGCCGCCCATTTCACGGCGTGCCGGCAAGTTATGGCGCGCCGCACGTCACGGCGTGCCGCGTGCCGCCAGGTCACGGTGCGCTGTCCGGTAATGGCGCGTCATGACGTGCCGCCAGGTCACGGCGTGCCGCCACGTGGGTGTACCGCAAGGCGGCTGCTGCGGCAGTACTGCTCATGCGGTAAGATGCCCCCCCTCCGACTATCGACAATTCACCACTTCCGAGTCGTCAGGAGGCCGTAGAATGACGGGGGCGGGGCATGAGAGGCCCCACGGCTGGCTCCTGAGCGTTTGGGTTGGCGTTGCTGTCGTAGCGCACACCCTGGTTGCATTGTTCGGCGTCCTCAGCCGCTGGCTGCAGGTGGGCGGTGCAGAGGGGGACGCAAGCCGCAGTTGCATTTTAGGGCTTTTGCTTTTTGACCTAGGCTGGCGGGGCAACTCAAGTGGTCCTCGCCTCTCGAAAGAGCATCTGAAAGGCTGTGGTTACAATTTGCTGCGGCCGAATCGCATGTGGCGAGGCCGCGGCCTGCCGCTCACCGCCGCCGTCGCCAACGCTCTCTGTGCGCAGGTCGAGCCCACGCCGCCGCTGCCTGCGCTGCGGTTGGCGCTGCTGGTCAGCTTGCTGGCACTGGCAAGCCTCATGCTCCTACACGGCAGCATCGTGCTGGTGCGGTTGGTGCGGCAGCGTTGGCGGCAGCACAACTCACCGCTAGGCTGGGGAGGAGCAACTCCAAGTCCAGACAAGCCAGCAGGAGAGCCGACCAAGTTGTGCCCCATCGGCATAGACAGCAGCAGCTCAATCCATCTGACGCCAGGTCATAGCAGCCGGGCAGCAGGCGACGCAGCGGCGGGAGTTGCTGTCCCTTTCCCGAACCCATCGCAAGCAGCAACAGAAGCAGCAGCAGCAAGCATCCCTGCACATCGGCCCTCCTCGCCCTTCCTTCAGCGCGGGGACAGCACATTTGTGCGGCAGCCGGGCCAGCCGCCGCCTCTGCGGCCAGAGATGCCAGTGCGGCATGGCTTGACGCGCCGTGTGCTCAACATGGGGGCCAAGCATCCCTGGCTGGTGTATCATGGAGCGCTGGCCATCACCACAGTCACCTTCTCCATTGCGCTGCTGTCACAGCTGGTGGCTCCTGGCTACGTAGATGCTGCGCTGGGTGAGCTGCAGCCTTCGCTTTCTCTTCGCTTCCTGTGGCAGCGCTGCTTCTGCTTCTTGTTTGCTGCTTAGCTCGTACTTTTTGCCGAGCCACCCAGCCTGGCGTGTGCCCCGCACTGCTGCTCTGGTGCAGTGCAACTCGTGCAGATGTTTGTGGTGATTGGCGTGGCATTGTTCCAGCACCTGCTGCTGCGCCACCGCCTGCCCTGGATCATCTGGCCATCTTCGGTGGCCATGCTGGGTGGAGCGGCAATGGTGATTACCGGCTGCGCCTGACTGGCTCATTTTGATGTTCTGGTCATGAACACAGGGCGGGTGGTTAATGGCATTGCTTGCGGCTCTTCCTTATGTGTTCCATGCCGCCTCACCACTCGCGCTGCCTGCTGCTGCTGGATGCAGGTCATGGTGCCCACCGTTGGAAGAGTGAGCAGCGTGGGCTGGGTTGTTGTGCACCTGGCATCTTTCCAGCCGCTGTGTGCGTGTGGCTCACTCTGTGCCTACTTTGCTCCCCCCGCACATCACACAGGGCAATGCAGATGGGCTGAGCGGCTGGCGCGGATGGCTGGGGTTTGGTCTATCGGTGGTCGCTATGGTGTTTGCAGTCATCTATTTTGTCAGCCTGCAAGCATTTCGGCACCTGGGCTTCGGCAGCTTACAGCTGCAGGTGCGGAGGCAAGCTCCGTCAGCGCTGCACTGCACAGCCGCACTGCCCGATCCTCGCCCTCCCCTGTGTGCTGCAGTACTGTTACCTGCTTTTCTGCATCGTGGCGCTGCTGCCACTCACGCTTCCCATTGATGGCGCCGACTGGAGCGGCCAATTCGATGGCTGGACAGCCAGCAGCTGGGCTGTCCTGGTGATGGTGGCAGTGACATGTGTTTTAGCCAACTTTTGCATACAGGCAAGAGACCAGCATCCTGCCAGCATAGCTGGCGTGCATCTGTGGCACTGTGCACTGCCCGCCGTGCAGCAGCATGATCATGCCATGCGGGTTGCCTGGACGCTGTGTGACGCCTCCACACTGCCCTTCCTGCCGCTGCAGCACGCCACCTGGCAGCTGGGCGCGCCCACGCTGTCCATGTTTTACGGCCTGCGCCTCGTCGCCTCCATTGTCCTGTCTGAGCTCCTACTGGGCTACACTGTCATCACCAGCGCTGTGCAGGTGAGAGGGAGGGCGAGGGTGCAGCCTAGAGGCTTGGGCGGCACTGAGTTCTAGAGTCGGTCAATGCCGTGCCTTGCAGATTGTGGGAGTCGTGGTTGTGGTGGCTGCCGTGACCGTGTACCTCGCATTCCAATGGCGGAACAGCCTGCGGGGGAAGCAGCAGGCAGCAGCGGCAAAGGCGGAAGCAGCAGCAGCGGTGCTGGCAGCGGCGGAAGATGATTGCGCCGCTAAGGCAGCAGCGGGAGCGTTAGCGGCAGCAGAGGAGGGAGGCAGGCCTGCTGATGATTCGGCCCATCACGGTCCCCGCGGCACCATCTCACCGCTCGCTTGGGTCAGCAGCAACAAAGAGTGATAGCCAGCGTGGTTCTTCTTCCAACCATTGTCCTTGTATTCATCGCTTATTAGCAACCTCGCAAACAAATTGTTTCCATATTCCTCTCCTGCCTTTCATTGCGCTCCTTGCTAACGTCGTTTGCAGAAGCAATTTTGACATTACAAATGTTATACACATGTTACGCATGAACAATAGCCTCAGCATGTGAACTGAGGATGCAAGCTTGCTTGCGCCGGCGCCAAGCCCAGCCCAGCGCGCGCTGCCAGGCGGATCCTGTGTGGAGCTCCGCATGAAGTATAATTCGCCTTGTGCAGGCCAACCTCGCACGGAGTCAGCCTCGCGCCACCCCACACTGCAGAACGTGGCCCCCACTGAGCCATGAGATCATGAGAGCTTGTGTGGAGGCGCGCCTCGTGCTGGTGCCCTTTGGCAAGCATTCCTCTAGCGTGCCCCTGCCGCCGCTGCAGCCTCAGCGCGTGCAGCTGCGCCCGGGACCGCAGGCGGACGAGAGCCGTCGCCTCCACCGCGTCGAGTGCACGGCCTTGGATCAGGCTGGCACCCCGCCAGCAGTCTATGTGGAGAACCTGGCAGGCAGGGCTGTGGTGGTGCAGCGCAACAGCAGCAGCAGCAGCAATGGGAGCGGTGCACTGCAGGTGTTGTGGCCGGACAGCGCCACGGTGCTGCACCCTGGCGACAGCCTGATCGTGCTGGTGGGGCCCGGAGGGCAGCCGTGGCATGGCTACCGCCTGGCCAGCCTACCCAAGGGCGGCCCCAAGGGCACAGGCAAGGCCAGCAGCGGAAAGCGGCGGCGGGAGACGCCGGCGGCGACAGCAGCAGCAGCGGCAGTGGCCAGCAGCAGCACGCAGCCGCCGCCAGCCAAGCAGCCGCGGCTGGCAGCAGCGGGCCCCTTCGTGGGCGTCACGGTGTTTGTGCCGCCCCACGTGCCGTTCCTGCAAAAAATGGTGTCTGGATGGCGGGACAACATTGCACGTGGCGGCGGCGCAGTGACGCAGGACGAGGCCTGCGCCGCCATCACCCACATCGTCGTCCCCACCCAGGGGGGCTGGGCCCGCCTGCCCCCAAAGCTGCACCCCCAGGGCATCTATGCCGCGCTGCTGCCATGCCAGCCGCAGTATGTGGCTCAGAGGTGGCTGGGTCAGTGCCAGAAGAATCACAAGCTGCTGCCAGCGGAGGATTACAGGCCAAAGGACCCAGCGCCGCCCTGCAGCACAGCCCTTAGCAGCCGCCAGCAGTTCATTCTGGGCAGCCTGCGCGCGCTGCTGCAGCCGCGCGCCGCCATCACGGCGCGGCAACTGGTGCTGGCGCTGCACAAGCTGCTGCACCCGGCGGTGCCGTGCGCGCCGTAGCCGGCGACCCAGACCATGCTGCGCCTGCTGAGCTACAACCTGTGGTGCGGGACTTTCGCGTGTGGGCCAATCATATATCACCAAGCTGCCTGCCTGCCACGCATGTGTGCACCATGGGCGTGCCTCCGGTGCCTGCTCGTCTCCCTTACCTGGCCTCGCCGGCGATGCTGTGCTTTCTCGCAGGTGGTAGCCTTGCCGCGGCAGGGAGCGCATGGCGGCGCTGTGGAAGCTGATTGAGCAGAAGGACTTCCCGCACCTCATTCTGCTCCAAGCAACCGGCCCATCAGCATGGCTGCTGCCTCAGCCCAACCCTGCTGCCCATGAAACGCCTGATGTCGTTGCTGGCACTCTCACAGCATTTGCCTGCAACATGCGGCCACCATTCACCAGGTGCCCACATGTACCCTCTGCTGGCTGGCCGCGCCTGCTGCAGGAGGTAACCATAAACTTGCTGCTGCAAATGAGTGGCTTCTGGCGCAGGTACCTCGCCAGCCCTGCGCCCGCGTGGGGCAGTCAGCGGCTGAAGTTCTGCCCACACTTCACTCTGATCCTGGTGCGCAAGGACAGCCTGCACGACCTGCAGTTCCGCCCCATCCTGCAACTCAAGGAAAGCTGCGCAAGTGAGATCCGGGCGCCGGCGCTGCAGGCGGGCCATGTCGCATGCGCTTGGCCGTTGTGGCCACCTGCTGGCATCCAGTCCTGGTCCTGGGTGCTTTGCATTAAGGCCTCATTGCCCCAGCACGAATGCTCGTGTTGTCCCACCGCTTGTCTCGCAGTGCGCCCCGCGGACTTGAGCAGCGCAACCTTCAGCTTTGGCGGCACGCCGTTCCTCATTGCCACAACCCACCTTGAGCCGTTTGCGTCAAACTGGCACTGCGAGCAGCGGATAGTGCAGATGATGGAAATGCTGGCACACCGTTGATGGCAGCGTGGCGGAGTGGCGGGCAGCGGGAGTGGCGCCAGCGGGTGGCCAGCCAGCCAGCCAGTCAGCCTGTTACCTTGAGTGGCGGCTGCCCCGCCTCGGGGGAGGAGCCCGCCCCTGGTGCTGCCCATGTGCGGCGCAGCAGGCGGCGGGTGGGACAGCCGTCAGGGGCCCGCTAGGGGGTTGGGAGCCAGGCGGGCGCCGCTGTGCTATTGCTGAACACACGCGGCTTCCTGGCCCATGACACAGCCGCGGTAGCAGCCTTGCTGCCTGCTGCGCCAAGTGATGTGCTCCTGTTCACTGAGACACACCACTTGCCGGGCGCCACCCCACCCAGCCTGCAGGGCTACTCGCTTGTGAACCACCGACCAGGGACCCCCTGCTCGACGGGCAGGGGACGCGGCGGCGTGGCCATCTACGCCCGCAGCTCTCTGGTGGGTCGGGTCCAGCAGTGGCACAGCTGGGAGGGAGTGGCTTGGATTCAGATCCGGGGGGAGGCTGGCCCCCCGCGATACGTGGCGAGTGGTACCTGCCG